GCCAATTGTGCAGTAATGGAGGGGAGGCGTGGACAGATTCCATTACTGGTAAGGAGTGGGGGGTGCAACAGGAAAAGTTTGGGCATCACTGCCTTAGATTGTAAGTGATTTGGGGGAAGTGACTGTCCTTTTGTTCTGTGTTTGAGCAGTGCCTTGCAGAGTCAGGTCCTGATCCATGCCTGGGGCTCCCAGGTGCCACGGTAATACACATAATTACTAAGGGAAATGAAGGCTATTTATGATTATTATAGGCCTGTCTATGGGACTTACTGTAGTATCTATACACCTGAAAAAATAAATTTACATTCATAACACCCCTGTGAGGTCGGAAGTGTTATTACTTAAACTGGGGTGCAGCAAGATTAAGTTACTTGCCCAAAGTCACTCAGGAAGTCCATGGCAGAATAGAATAGAGATCTTATGGTTTCCAGTTCAGTGCCTTAGCCACAAGACCTTCTTTACACTTGTAAAGAGTGTTTTTTCTTTACTAGTGATTATATTTTACTAAACAAGAAGCTATCAAAATATGTGTAAATGAAGGTTAGTTACTTTTGATATTTTCTTTGTACTCATGGCATGAACATAACACACACTCTTTGCTCCTGTTTTTGTCACTGGGACCCCTCAGTGTAATTACATCTTTATTATTCATGTTCAGCTAATTATTTATAGTAGAATCTGCTAAATTAGAATGCCACTATAGATGGCCTTTAGTCCTGAGTACGTGGAATTCACAGTTAATGGAAAATACTGGATAATTATTCATGTCCCTGTCTGGGGAGAGCAGTGACATTAATGAAGAGGCCAAGGGAGTTGGGAGGAGACTGTTTGTGCTGGGACAGGATCTGAGCCTGTTGCTTGCCCAGCTTTCACTGTAAGGAGTTCTGAGTGCGTATTTGGCAAGAAGCTAGCAGGGAGAGTTTTGAAATACTGTAACTTCATATACTTTCTGCACCTATCACAGTTCTTGTTAATGTATCTAAGTCTTGATATGTCGTAGCTGCTTTGCAATGCAGAACTGTTTGATCAAATCTAGAAAAGTACTGGATATGGTTCAAATTCAGAGAGGGAGAGAATGCTCTATACTATTCTGTGCAAAGAGGGCTTTTTAAAAAGTAAGGTGCTGCTGAACAGGCTGAAAACTACAGTATGTGCAAAAAAAAGGGGGGGTATGCTTTTTGTTAGGATAAAATAATGCCATGCTTGTTTGGCTAGATAAGTGCAAGAATCAAGAGGGGAAAAAATGGGGTTGTCTGGATAGCTGCACAAAGGTGAGAAATATGAAACTTCCTCTGAAACACTATATTTAGGGTCTTTGAGAGGTGATTTTTTTTAATATGTTTGAGTTGTAGTATAAGTGAATTTAAACACAGCACAGCAGTAGTTGATTATTCACCAACATCTGTGGAGAATAAGACTGTCACTGCTGAGTTTGTATACAAATCCTATTAGAGACATGCCAGTATTTTCATAGAAGATTGACATAGTTTAAATTACAGCCTGGCAAAGTGGCTTTGTCCTAACCAACTCTTTTTTGCTTATCTAGATATAGACGCACCATAAAGGCATATTCAAAATATTGCCGTAGCACTGCTGAAACAAAGACCTTTTTGTTTTGATTTTGTTCTATTAGCTATGCTCTATTAGCTATGCTACCTTAATATTTCCCTGTCCAACCCCCTCCAAACTGCCATCTGCAATGACCCGCAGGCTAAGGTCTTCACTAGGCAGAAGAAATACCATTCGGCTATAAAATCCAGAGCTAAATCTGTGCCTCTCTACATTCTGGCTTCTTTACTTGTCATCCCTGCCGTGTGAGGGGCTAAACGAAGGAGCTTATTTAAATGCCACTTGTGATCAAGCAAGTATCTTCACAGTGTGACACAAAGCCAACACTTATCTCCTCCAGCAGTCACATAGCAAAGAGCTACTGCTAGGCCACCAGGCTGACCTGCAGTATAAAACCTGCTAAAGAGACACCCCCTTCCCCTCCCTCCCCCCGGAACGAGTGACTACTTGCAGAGGCCACGGAACACCACTGCTCTCTAGTGTGCAAGCCTGTGGAGAGAGACCACTCTTACAAGCGACCACATTTGCTTACTCCCATGAGTGGTTGCTCTTGGCAGGTTTTACTGTACTTGTTTTTCTGTTTTCTAGAAGTATTTGTGGAGGGTAAAGTTTACTAGTTTAATCTCTTTGCTGCTGCATAAGGAATTAGTGGAATGACCATATTATTTCAAATTTGATGCTGCAAACTGCTCAAGTTGCCTCTTCTATCCTCATGCTGCTCTCTGATCAGTGCTTGTTTCAGCAGAAATAATTCCTGTTTCTGAAGTGTAGGCTGTACTTTCTACAGAGATGAGAAATAACTTAGATTGCATAGGACAAATGGCACGAATGTTGCTGCCCTAAAATAAATAATAATTATACTTTGCTCTTATGTAGGACACTTACTAGGTGGAGAGTTACATGAGTGGCGTGGTCTAGTGGTTAGAACAGAGAACTAGGTGCCAGGACTCATGCAGCCTTACTTTTTGGGAGTGCTGCGCAAGCTAGTTCCAACCAAAGTGCAGAGGATCTAACTGTGTTCAACACCTGGAGAACTAGGCCAAGGAGATTTTTCCCCAGCTCTTCCAATAATTCACTTTGAGGCTTCGGGCAAGTCACCTTAGGCCAACATTTTCAATGGGAGCTGCATTTGCTCACCAAGGATAATTTTTTGAACATAAGGGCCAGGATTGTCTTTCTTTGCTATGAGATCCAGTATAGCCCGTTCTACCTTTAGCAAAGCCTCAAAATTTTCTGCTCAAAAAATGAGACTTCAGCCTCAATAGTGATTAAATCCATCGTGAAATAGGCAAATTCCTTGGACTCGTCTTTCTTGATCTTTTTAAGAGTACCCTTATGCATCCTAGATGTCTCTATTCATGTGTTGTTTAATGTGCCGCATTGTTTTGTGGGTGGTCTTGACTGATGATATGCTTCATTTGCATTTGCCTTTAAAAAAAAAAAGTCACAATGTAACAGCAGCTAACTGAGAGTGGATACTGACCCTGGCCATGTAACAGAGGTATAACCTTTTGTGACCATGACCCTAGCCTATGATGAGGGTCAGGAAACAAAGATCCATCTCTTGCCAGCACTTCCGTGTTTTGCACCTTTATTACAGTATTATTGTAATAAGGAAGTGATGGTAAATCAAAGATACAGAGGTCTTTTAGAAAGAAGACTTTGCAAAGATTATGCTTCAGCAGGACTTATTGGGGGGCGGGGGGGAACAATAGTTGAGCAGTGAAGTCCTCCACAATCCTGTAGTCCTCCATGCATGTGTAACAAACTGAAAGTGGCTTGATCACATGATGTCTTTAGAACTTGCTTATTACACAACTTTCAGAGGCCACCCTGTGATTTGATAGATATTGAAGTGTGAATGGTGTAGAAGTTGGCAGAGTAATGTATCATGAGCAGACAGACATTATGAAATACATGTCTATGGCCATGATAGTGGAATCTTTTAAGAGTCTTTGTAAAGAGACCACCATTATGCCTGCCAGATGAAAACACCAGTCTGAGCAAACAGTTATGCTTAATTATTTACTTTTGCAGCAGTTTTGATTTAGACAGCAGTTTTCTTTCTTTTTTTTTCTTCTTCATTATCATTGAGTTGGATCTGGCACAGTGACAGCTTTGCTCTCATGCTTGTCGCAGTGTGGCCTTACACAGGGTTCTCGTTAGCTACTTCTTAGGATTTGGTTGTCTGTGATGCTGAGAGCAAATCTGGTATTTCTGTGCATGACTCAGTGAGATGCTCTGATTTAGTGGCACTGGTTTAGTCACAGGCTTGAACTGTCTGTGATCAAAACCTGCATTCTAATCACTCACATGCCTTCACAGAGGCTAACTTTACACACTATGGAGTCAACGTCCAAAAGCTTTGATCAAATTGCAGTCATGTGCTGCTGAGATCAACTGAACACAATGGGTAGTGTCCAAGTGCAGCACTGCTAAAACTGTGTGGCGTGAGTGCTACTTTTCTTCTCAGGATGAGAATTCGAAGCATAATCAGTCTCAAAGTTGCTCACTCTTTTTACCAAAAACACATTTTGAGCCAGCCATGCGGGGGTGTGTGTGTGTGTGTGTGTTGGGAGGGGAATTGGGGTGTGGAGTGGGAGTATTTCTCTAGACTTTGGCAGCTGTTATGTCTGATTCCTGTGAGAAGCTGGAAGATTGTTCTTAAGTCACTACAAAATCCAAACATAACCTTATCTGGGTGTGTGGTAAAGGGGGGGGGGAGGGAGAAGAGCAGGAGGTGCACACATGACATTCTCTCTCCTAATGAGCAAGTGGGCCATTTCTCTGCCCCTTTCCTCCTCTGCTGGTCTGCCTGGGGAAAGGATGCTGTACCACGTAAGGACAGTTGTAAAATACTCCTCCACCTACAAGAGAACCAGAGGCCAGCAGGAGAGAAATGGCATCTATCTCAGACATAGTGCCTCCTGGCACAGTCTAGATTCCACAACCTCCCCTTGCTCGGGGCTGTGCCTAGGGGCAAAGTTCATCCCACGATAATCAGTAATAATACTCTAGCTTTGGAGAGGTATATGTGGCTCTAAAGCTAGTATCTGGCCCAGTATACCACTTTCCATAATCTTCTGTGCAGATGTCTGTTTTTAAAATGAGCATAGGAATACTTTTATGAATGTCTTCAACTTTAAGGGACTAAATAGATTAATAAAAAGCTGTTGGGGCAGGGGAATACAAGTAGAGAAACTATTGGTGGAGGCTGTATTTATATTAATGGGCTTGGAATTAGGGAGAAAAAAAGATACATAAAAGCTTCAACGGTGTTCACTTTTTTTTTTTGCTAGTATTTTCTCTGTACAATATCTGATCCGTCAACATTTCACATAAAAGAACTAAAAATCCTTTTTCAGCATATGGCATTGCCTCTATACAGGGAGGCAGTTTTTAGAAAAATAACCAATTGTTTTTCTTAACAGAGTTTGAGAGATTTCATTGAAAATGACTAGCAAAACAACTAGCACAACAAACAATATAGCTCAGGCACGAAGAACTGTACAGCAGTTAAGAATAGAAGCTTCTATCGAAAGAATAAAGGTGAGAAACATTCTTACTGATCTTTCTCTTTTTTTATATGAACCATGTGAATTACAGCAGATATATTTTAGTAAACTCCCAATATATATGTACATATTTTTTTTTATTATGCAGTATACCTCACAGGGGTTATCTTTGAATGTGGTAGTTTCACTCATACCTGTGGTACTGAACTTTACAGATTTCCTTATTGTTGCTATAGAAAAAAATGTACCAAGAGTATAATAGGTACTTTATGGACGTGTGAGAAGACCAAATCTTTGCTACTGTGAGTTTATAATCTAAATCTATAATATGGAGTGGGTGGAAGATGAGATGTGATTTAAAGCAGTTTTTTTTCCCAATTGAGCATGTTAGTTTTGGATGTTTAAATTTTACTTTATATATCTTTGCAGGTAGATCAAGGGTTTGTAGCCCTCTTGAAAGAGGAAGAGAGTTGAGACAGGGTGCACCTAAATTATGGTGGACAAGGAGCCCAAACGTCTCCCTTTTTCTCCCTGTCCCACCCAGTGGTTAAGGAATTTGATTAAGCTAAAATATCACCTATTAAGATTTGTCTTTTTGTTGTTGTTCTAACCATACCAATCCTTGCCTTCATTCTCCATTTTATTAATACTCTCTGCAGTCTACCGACTGTCCAAAGGTCAGCAGACTGGTTACTACACCTGACGTAGGTACTTTTCTTACAGTCAGCTAGAGATTAGGAACATGCAATGTCTTGCAAGGAAATGACTGAATCAATTTCCTAGAAACTGTAAGTCAATTGATGACACTTCAGTGATTATTAACAATGATATCTAAAGATATAAAATCTTTTTACTAGAAGCCTGCTCTATTGTTCTGAACCTGCTGTTCAAATCTCAGAAAAATGTAAAGTTACTCATGCCTATCTTCCCAAAGTACCTTTAAAGACACAGCATCCTGGCTTATCCTCATTTTTGCTTACTTTTTTCCCGTTCTACCAACCTCATCAAGGCCAGTCCAAGAAGCAAATCCCAGAAACCTTTGCATTATGCTTGGTGGCCTTAGCTCTGGACCTGAAGATTTTATGGATTTCTCAAACTCTGTTCTTCCATATGCAGAACTAATTCACTGTAGCTATGGATGCATCCCACAGCCCATTCCATCCTATCGCAAATGATCTGGGAATATTTACCATTTTGTGTCTTTTTGCCAGGTGTCAAAAGCATCAGCAGATCTCATGTGCTACTGTGAAGAACATGCCAGGAAAGATCCTTTACTAATGGGCATACCTGCTTCTGAAAACCCTTTCAAGGATAAAAAAACATGCATTATATTGTAGCAGAGCAGTAAGTACCTCCATAGCTTTCCCAAGCAAAACAGACTACAAGCAAAAATTATTAGAGAAATAATGTTATGGTCACCTGATATCAATGGTGTAAAACAGCAATGTATTTACTATGTGTGTAAACGAATTCTTAAGTTTAAGATTCTTTTTCTTTATAGTGTCCCTACTGGGAAGGAAGATTATAAACTAAATTATCCTATTTCTTGTAAAATGGAATGGGGTCTGTGGCATGCAGCTGGTAATTCTCTTGTGTTGGCTTTTATGTCGATATAACTATGTTGCTCAGGATGTGAAAAATCCATGCCTCCCGAGTGACGTAGTTATACCAGCCTAACCCTCGTGTAGACAACTCTGTCGGCAGGAGAACTTCTCCCATCGACATTGTTACTGCCTCTCTGAGAGGTGGATTAAGTACGCCCATCGGTATAGGAGCATCTTCACTAAAGCGATCTGCTGCAGCACTGTATGTGAAGACTAGCCCTAAGGAGAGAGGCCTGGATGAGGTGAAGGTCTTTTTAAGAATGTGTAATATCTGCATTTCAGTTTAAGGTATTAGGCTACACAATCAAGACCAAAGTTGCCTGATCTTCACCTACAGATCAGCAAGGTAGACAAGTAATTTGACTCTTAATCAAGATTAATTTACTGTAGCTTTTTAAAAATAGTGTATTTGTATTCAATTAGTGTATTTATGTATTGGTTTTGTGTGTGTATATATATGTGTTTGTGTATATACACATTCCAAAGTGCATTCTCTGACAAGACTCCTTGCAAACAACTGCTGCAATTATTGATAAACTCCATAGTTCATGCCTTTACCTTCAGTTATGTCTTAACTCTTTTTAAAAGTGAAAAATCTGTTTTTGTGTCAAGAATCAATAGATTTCTGATGATTTATGTAATTTTTCATTTTTGAGAAGCTCTAATAAAGGAGAATTTTAATCCTTTTATTCTGCCCCTCTAAATTTTCTCCTCAAATTATGATCAATGTAGCTCCTTTAATAGGGCTACGTAAGACTCCAACACTTTGGAACTAGCATTTCTCTTGCCCCACTGCTAAGGTGAGGGGGAGGATTCTGTCACTCCAAACCACATGGGTCACCTGTGCAAGTCTCATTTAGGTTTTGTGCAGTGATCCAGGATTTGGTTCTTTTAATAATTGAGTTCCCCTTTTTTTAAGGAAAAAGAAGCCAAATCCTATCCAGATTATGATCAAGCAAATGTAATCGGATGGCCTTTCCATAACATCACTGATTTACAAATAGCCTAATAAAGTTTATATACAAGTCTTGTGTATTGATGGAATAAGTGAGTGGAAAGAAAACAATATTGACTTCTAGTAGGTTACCAATGTGTTTTTGTGTGTGTGGGTGTTTCTCTATAGCCAGGTTTCAGAGTAGCAGCCGTGTTAGTCTGTATCCGCAAAAAGAAGAACAGGAGTACTTGTGGCACCTTAGAGACTAACAAATTTATTAGAGCATAAGCTTTCGTTGAC